CGGGGCAAGGTGGAGGGGGGCCTTGACCTCAGAAGTATTACTGCGAGGGAAGTGATGGCTGTGGCTGAGGAACAAGGAAGTCCGGAAAAAGAAAGCCATTCAGTAGCTCCAAAGCACCTAGGAACCAAAGACTTCACTTTATCACAGCAGCCTCAGCAAGGGACCAGCCAGCCTGTTTCAGGACCACAAGCAGAGCAGGTGAGGGCCAAAGTGAAAGCCTTTGGGACTCTTGGCAGGTGGGGAGCTCAACCGGCAGGGGGCAGCAGTCCTAACCAGGAGCCAGTCTTCACCAGCTAGCCTGAACACTGGGTGCAGCAGAGGAGGGGCGGAGTGCAGAGAGCAGACTGAGAGGCGGTGTCTATTCTGATGAACCAGACTCCCTGGCTCACCAGAGAGACTAGCTGCTCACCAGCCTCTCGGATCAGGGAGAAAGAAGGTGATCATCAGGCTCAGAAGCATTCAGTGTTACTAGAACTGGTACAAATGTCAGTCTGCAGCTGCAATCACAGGTCAAAGAAAAAGGGGAGCAATCCCATCGTCCTCTCCTCAAAGCTTCCTCCAAAGGGCACTGAATGCAGCCCTCGGCTCACAATGCTGTGTCACCAGCATCATGCTAGGCAGAAGGGTGTCGATCCATCTATAAATTATCTCCAGCATAAGCCATTCACACATTCAAACATCTTTGATGATCCTGTCAGGAGCACTGCTGAGGAGGAAGACCAGCCCTCAGATTGACAGGGGATCAAACCTTTCTGTCGCACAGCTTGTACCGAAGGAGCAGGGCCCATTTGTGCCTTTGAAAATGAAATTTGAAAGAGGCAAGGGTTGAGGAGTTTTTAATTTATGTTTCATTTTATTTTTGAGACACAGCAGGATGTAATCAGCTTAGGAGTTCAATAGAGACATCCGCCTGCTTCTACCTGAGACCTCCCAGCTTGCTCTGCACAGCCCAGAGTGCTTTTTAATAAAGCAGGAGGAGAGATACACAAACATGCACACCCAGAAAGGAAAGCGGGGCCACCAAATGGCCCTGCCACACCTCCCCTCCATCACTGACTCCCCAGCACCCAGGACTAGAGTCCCTGGTTCCCCCATAGGGCCTGCTTGTATGCTTGCAGCCAAACTTCATCTAACTGTCAGAGCAGCTGGGGTGGGGGTGGGGGGGTGAAACAGCTTCTAGAAAGAAGAAAAAGTGCCCAAGATTGGAGTCTCCCCTGAACTGCCCTGGTTACAGATTCTCAATGCTGCTGCCACTTTGGGACACAAAAGACCTGGAAGAAGCATCCAGTCGGTCAGTCAATTGGTGTTTAGTGAGCACCCACTTTGTGCCAAGCCCTTGGCTAAATGATAAAGCGATAAAGGATGACAGACACAAGTTACATGCAAGTCAGAGAGGAGAATTAGAACTAGCAAGCACGCAAGTGAGCAGGGGAAGCAGAGAAAAGGCTAGGGGCTGTGAAAAAGTCAAGCGGGGTGATGGACGATAGGGTCACTGCAGCGGGGGCCACAATAGTCAGGGAAAGCCACTCTGACATGACACTTGACACTTGGGTCAAAACCTGGAGGCTGGGAAGAAGGCAGCTTTCGGAAGAGGGAGCAGAAAATGCAGCATGGGCCCCAGCATGCATTGCAGTGACGCCAGTCCCAGCCATACCAGGTGCAAAGAGAAAACAGACAGACAGACAGACCTAAGGAATCGTGAACAAGGCAGCTAGCTCTGCCTCCCCCATATGCCGGGCAGTGTGCATGCATGTGCCTGTGTGTTTATGTGTCAGATGTCCCACATTCCTTCCACGCTGGAGCTGCCCGTCTGATTCTACTTAGCAGACCCAGAGCAGACCAAGAGCCTGGAAATACATGACCGGGTTAACATGTCACCTCAGGTCACAGGCCATGGGAAACCGTTCTGCGCCGACATCAGGGACCCATGGGGAGCGAGGCACCTTTCCCTCCCATCATCCAGCAGACACATCCCCTCACATTTCCCCAGGAGCCTGATTTATGCTGGGTCATTGTGCCCCATTAGGGTTGCTATGGTTACGCCAGGCCTGGGTTACCTGGACTTTTTTTTTTTTTTTAATGCGATTGTTTATTTTGGGAGAAGGGGGTTTATTTTGTTTGTTTGTTTTTCTTTTAAAACATTTTTACTTGTCTGCTCGTTGCTTTTATTTACCTGGAGTTTTGCTTGCTGGACGCAGGGGCCACTGCTGCTTTGCTGCGTCTGTCATTTGCCGGGAAAGTGGCAGAACGGTTCCAGAGGTAAAATGCTACACAAGAGCCCCAAGTTCAGAAAGACTGCAGTGGGAGGAGCACTCTCGCCACCTGGAAAATCCAGGCTCTTCCTAAACCCACTAGCCTGTGAGTTCCAAATCTCCACCTCCCGGCACCTCAGGGTTAAGTCACAAAGGTCAAGCTAGCTCCTCCGATGCCAACACCAAACCCTACGTAATCCGAAGGAAATTCAGAGCGGGGCTCCTCCGAGGTGAGCAACGGGGCTCCTTCCCCTGTCTTCATGCAAGACAGTCGGGAAAATCAACTCGCCAAGGGAGGGAGGGCTCCTGGAGAGAAGTGGGCATGACGGTCACTCCGGGCAATGCGTGTGCAGGGCCAGGAAAGTGGTTGGAAAGACCCCAAGCCCCTGTGTTACACATGAGCGCATCCTGGGCCCTGCCCTCATGTAGTTTGCGATCCAAATGAGGAAGCAAAGCAGGGAAACTCTACCTTAATCTAAATATTAACCTTCAGAGTCTGTGGCTTAATCACAAGAGCTGATATTTCATCCCCACGCCAAGCTCTCTCCCACACCCACCGCCCAGACACAGGTCAGTAACAGTCCTGTCACTCCTTCTCCTTTGGGCCCAGTTAAGGCAGCCCCAACCACTCAGGTGAGGCTTGAAATGAGACCTATTTCCCCAGCTTGATATCATCTGCAAACTTAAAGATTTTAGATCCCTCTTCCCCCTCCTCCCCCCCCCCCCCCACCCCCCACCCCACACACACACACACACAGTTGAAATATACCTATTCTCTCATCTCCACAGGTGTAAGTAAGACAACTTCCTGCCTAGTGAATGCGATTTGCCTCCCAGGTACCACTGGCGGTGAAACAGGCACCCACCCATCTCACTCTGCCAACATCCCAGTGTGATCCAGCCCTCCCACTGGCGGCCCCGCAGGCAGCCCTGCTTCTGGTGGAGGGCTGGCCCAGAGCCACCGCCCTGGCAAACACTGTGAATGTGCAGCGATGGGAGAGAGATTTCCCAGCCGCACTGCGCTTATCAGCGTGTCAATCTCCAAATGTCAGCCAGGATACGTCACTTACCGCTGCCGCTCTGAGGGTCAAGCGCTGGGACTGTGATCAGCCCTCCGTGTTCTGTGAAGGCACAGCTCACTGTCCAGAAAATGAAGGCCTCCAAAGGAAACAGAAAATTCTGGTCTTTAAAAAGCAAAACCGACTCCCTCCCCTCTTGTCCCCAGGAGACGCTCATAAAGTCAATCTTCTCATCCAAGCGCGAGTTCCACGTCCTTTCCTAATTGCCTTAATGGGGGAAAGCACCCGTGGACCCTCCAGCTCTCTCTCCTCAGTCTCAAGAAAATACATTTGATTAATAATCATGTAATGACATTTCCAATACAATGACCACTATCCGTGGGTAGGGGGACCCAGGAGCTTCTAAGATTGAAGTATGTTGCTAACTCGGACATGTGGTGGCGGTGTTGGTAAAAAGGGGTGTCATTGTGAGTATTGCAATCACCCTGGTATGAAATTACTGTAGTCCAAGTCATTTTCAGTCCTTTTCTTAGGACAAACTTACCTCTATGAAGTCGAACGGATGAAATGAGGGAGACCGAGGCAAACAGAAGCTAGTCCCTTAGAAAAGGAGCCTAAGAGGAGACAGCAGGAAAGGGGGCTCCTGTGTTTTGCTTTCCCCAGCCTGCTTACAGCACCCTCCTGCCAAGCGCTGATCGCTAAAATACCCGTCGTTCCCTGACCACCAATCCCCAGCGCCTTTGCGCAGGGCCTAATATACTAGCTATTGGCCCCACCTGCGTGGCTCAGGTTTGCCAGCTGCCCATCATTTGCTTACCTCCTTCACAACCTCATGCACAGTCCCCGATTATTCAAACATTAACCTAGGTGCTGTTGTGAAGGTATTCTGTAGATGTGATTATAACCCATAATGAGTTGCTACGAAAGGGGTATTATTCTAGAATCTAGATGATCTGGATGGGCCTGGTGCAAGCAGATGAAAGACCTTAAGAGCAGAGGTGAGCTTTCCCAGAAGCAGAAGAGTTCCAGCCTGCGCCCTCCACACACACACACACACACACACACACACACACACACACACCCGCCACCCACCTACCCTGTAGATTTCACCCACCTAGCCAGACCATACAACATGTGAGCCAGTTCCTTCCAAACAACTTCTTAATACATACATCCTACTGCCTGTTTACTTGGTTGGACCCTGACTGATGTATAGAAGATACATAGAATTTAGAGTGTTTTCTTTCAATTCACTCACTTTTTTTTTTTTTTTTTTACTAAAACACATTTACTTTGTTCACCAAATTTATATCCCTACCATCAGTAGAAGACTGGTACCACTTGCCATAATGGAAGGAAAGCACTAGTTAAGTATACAATTTTACCTATATGTTCCCCAAAATTCTAGTTTAGCACTTCTTAGTTGGAATTCAGGAGTCTGTAGTTTAACAACTATACCAGGTGATTCTCATCATGAGAGAAGTTTGGGGAAAACTTATAGAGCATTTCTGCTCAGAGCAAAGTCAATACAAAGGAAGGTAAAGCAGTATGAAGAGAAAGAGAGAATTCAAGCACATCATTTGGGCCCCTGGATCTAGCCAGGCTAAAGCAATCAAGGTTTATCCCAGGGACTTTTTTCAGTATCCTTATCCAATAAAACTGGGTGGACATCAAGGAGAGCTGAGTCAGGTGACTGTCACCATACCCTCACCAGGTAACTATACCTTAGCAGGTGAGTTGAGGATCCAATGAGAATGCTGTAAAAGTCACGGAGCCCATGTGGTACATAGTCAGTGCTCAATAAAACCTGGCTGTCATTTTAGGAGGCTCCGCTGAAATAATGCACCTGACGTGCTTCTCCAGCTGCTTCCATGGGATGGGCGCTTATTCAACTCATCATAGCTGTTGCTCCTCCATAGGAGCCATCTTAAGCTCCAGCTCATTCAGCCAGCAGCCCAACCAGCCAGCAGGCTCAATGGCTGAAGCCCCACATTTCGGGTTCCAGAGGTGAAACATTCATAAACCCGAAATGATTTTTTTGTAAGGAACAAAGCTTACATTGTAGCCACCACTCGGCTCTGGGTGGCTGAGTGGACCTCGGCAGAGCTATTCAAATGGGAAAAATCGTTTCGTTATTGGTTAAGTCAGAGAAAACTCTTAACGAGTAACCAAATCAGCTGCTGCAGAAGCTGAACTTTTTCAAGAGGCAAACAAAAGGGCCAAGGAGAAACTTCATCTTGTTTTGAAAATCCCAATTTAGATGCTGCCAAGAGCTATGCGTGACACACAACCCCATGACATCCTGATGACAGAAAGATTTAATAATTACTTTTCTTTAAAGGTTGATGTACTAAACCACTCTTCCAAAAATACCCGGGAAGGGGGAGAGTGGGAGCAGATGGAAAGTGACACAGTGCGTCAATTGCCCACGTGACTTCACCAGCAGCCAGGAGAAGTCAGCCAGCAAGTGATCGAGCTGCCATCTTTGGATCCAGCCACCGCTTGCAGATTTCACGTGTACCTGCTGCAGAAAGCTCCATCCTCTAAAAGAAAAAAGAATAAAATCTGATGAGAGAACACACTACAGAATGAATGTTGCTAGGGAAATTTTTTAAAAATCATCTCTGGACCGCTTCAGAATTCTCCCAAGGCCTATGAAATGGGCAGGCAACCTGTGACATGGGTTTCATCTTATTAGGACAAGGGCAGAAGGAAGGTAAAAAATTAACACTTATTGAGTCGATGCCGTATAAGTTCTCTCCTTTAATCTTCATGCCCATCCCATGAGATAAGTAATTAATAAACCCACTGTACAGATATTGAGTGCAAAATGGTTAAGCAATGTACTGAACATCACAATAGAAATGACAAGGGCAGTCTGACAGACTCCAAAACTTGTATGCCAAACAGTACTACCACCCTGCAACTCTTTCTTTTATCTCCTCCTCTTCTAATTCTTTGTCTCTCCTTTTATTCTCTATCTATAAAAACGGATTATTTCCTTTTCAAAAACTATTTGAGGGAAGGGAGGACATAGGAAAGAGAGAAGGAAGGCTGGTCTAACCAGGCCACAGGTCCTCTAAAGGAGCTGAAAACGGGGATGGAAATTATGATAACCACTATTTCCATGGTTTTCCTCTCTTTTCTTCTTTCAAATGTTTGGAGCCCGTGAGAGGGTCCATGCCAATGAGAACTTTCCAATCAAGCAAGATGAAAGAAACAGGAGGATGAACTTGAAGTTACAATAATAATGGCTAACATTTTCTTACCTATGTGCTTACTATCTGCCTGGCACTCTTTTAATCATTTTATTTATATTAACTCATAGACTCCCTATAGCAATGCTATGAAGTAGGTACTGTTGTCATTACAAATGAGTCCTAAGACCCAGAGAAGTGAAGCCCTGTAGCCAGGATCACCCAGCTGATAAACAATACAAACCAAAATAGGTGACTCCGGAGTCCATGAGGGAATCCACCACATTAGTCCCTGATAGGTAAGCATGTTTCGTATACTATGTTCATCCTAGACTTCAGGCACATCTGGACCAGAGAATTTTGCCTGAAGACACAAGGAGTCCAGGAAAGGAGAAGAGATGGCACAGTAAGCCAGGAAGGGGAAGGAGCTCTGCCTACAGCCACCATCAAACCACCTCCCAGCCCAGTCCTCAAAGACTCATGAGAACCTTGGCAATGCCAGGTGAAGTAACAGAGTCATTAAAACTAAAATTGCTGGCACCCTGGGCAGACGTAATTGCTACCTAAGTCAGCACTCTAATGCAGACATCGTCCTCTGCCTCCTGCATGCTGGTCAGCCAGGCACAGAGGGCAGCAGGAGCCAGACAGAACTGGAGGCAGAACTATGGCTGGTGGCATCCCTGACACAGGAGAACCGGAGTGGCTGAGATGAGTGAGGATACCAAGAGGAGAGCGGACAAGTGCATGAGTCCTTTAAGGAGGGCTGGCGTTCCCATAGAATGCACGAGGTCGGGAGGGAGAAATTCTTTATATATATATATATGTGTGTGTGTGTGTGTGTGTGTGTGTGTGTGTGTGTGTGTGTGTGTGTTTTATTGATTTTCCACAGAGAGGAAGGGAGAGGGATAGGGAGCTAGAAACGTCGATGAGAGAGAAACATTGACCAGCTGCCAATGTACATGCCCTTGACCAGAATCAAACCTGGGACCTTTCAGTCTGCAGGATGATGCTCTATCCACTGAGCCAAACCAGTTTCGGCAAGAAATTCTTATTTGTCTCTATCATAAAGACCCTATTTTTACCTCAGGCTGATGTAATCTAGGAAGTATGTGATATTTATCCAGAAAGAAAAAATAAATAAATAAATAAATAAATCATATGTCATACAGGTAAGCATGCATAAGAACACACACACCTGAGTTTTGTCTCTTTGTTTATGAGTTTAATGCATGTGGGCATTTTCTTCTTTCCTGAGTCACTGAGTTATTTGAAAAGTACAGAAGAAACTCTTAGCTATTGTGGCCTTTCTTTAGTGCACCCGAATGGACAACCTCATGGAAGAGCCTTTCAGGAGAGAACCACTCGGAGTAAACCTCCGGGACTCAGCTCCTAAAAGTCACCGTGCCTGATTAAGGACCCACAACAGCACCACGACCACCACCAGCCCTGCATTTCCACAGCCGCTTCCTCAGCGCCACACATTCTGAGCCTTCCATCTTCAGAGGCACCTGTCTAACCTCCCATCCGGCTTTAAGTCCTTTTGGCTAACAACTGGCCCGCCTACTTATTTCTCTCCCAGCCCAGAGCCCAGCAAACAGCAAGGAGCCTTGCAAACCCTCACAGACCATGTGGGAGGTGAGATTTGAGAAGTAGCTCCCCTGGCATCAGTTCCCTCCCTACCATCCTGTCCTCTTGCCTGCTTCACCCCTGAGAGCCACCATCTCCATTTCTAGAATGATCTCTGGAGATGGAATGAACTGAAAACCCGAGCCAAGTCAGGAAAACAGCATTGAAAAGAAGCGTGGAGGTCTCTTACTCCATCATTCTTTGAGCAAATGTTAATTGAGCACTTACGGAAGGCCAAGCAATTCTTAAACCCTGATAGAAGGTCAAGCAATGAGATTAGCTTATTTCCTCGGTTGTCAATCTCATCTCTAAATCATTAGAAATTTCATGCACATATTGAATCAAAATCTCCCTTCCCATAACTTATCTTCTTTGACTCGGATATTAGTCAAAACTGCATTGCAATGAAAACTGTGGGGATTTAAATGTAAAAATAAAACCAAAAATATATTGGGGGAAATGTAGGTGACCATACAACTTTTTCTAGATATGGATACCAAAGGGAACATTAAATATAATTTTGATATATTAAAAGTTAAATAAAAAATTTTGATGGATTTGACAACATAAAAATCTGAAATATGCCTACATTAAGGCAAGGGGCAAAACTGAAAAGAAATATTTGCAAACTAGAGGGCAAAAGGCTAACATTCTTAACTAATTATTTTACAGTCAATAAGGAAATGCTAATACTATTGGAAAAAATAAGCAAAAGACACAAATAGGCAATTCAGAAGAGATTAAAAAGACCAAATATGAGAGGAAAAAATATTTAACCTTACTAATAATCTAAAACATAAAAAATGAGATACCACATTTCACTTATCAATCTGGCAAGATATTTTAAAAATTTTAACATCCAGCACGAGGGAGAATGTGAGGAAACATGTGAGGACACTAGAGCCCACATTGGTGGTACAGCCACATACATCAAACACAAAATCAAAATCTTTCAATCCTAGAACTTCTACTTTCAGGGCTTCAATATTAAGGAAATACTCAAGAGTATGCACAATAGCCAAAACCGGTTTGGCTCAGTGGATAGAGTGTCGGCCTGCGGACTGAAAGGTCCTGGGTTCTATTCCGGTCAAGGGCATGTACCTTGGTTGCAGGCACATCCCCAATAGGGGGTGTGCAAGAGGCAGCTAATCTATGTTCTCTATCATAGAACAGTAAGCCAGGAAGGGGAAGCAGGGGGTGTGCAAGAGGCAGTAAATCTATGTTCTCTATCATAGAACAGTAAGCCAGGAAGGGGAAGGAGCTCTGCCTACAGCCACCATCAAACCACCTCCCAGCCCAGTCCCCAAAGACTCATGAGAACCTTGGCAATGCCAGGTAAAGTAACAGAGTCATTAAAACTAAAATTGCTGGCACCCTGGGCAGACGTAATTGCTACCTGAGTCAGCACCCTAATGCAGACATCATCCTCTGCCTCCTGCATGCTGGTCAGCCGAGACTTTCTAACTCTCTATCCCTCTCTCTTCCTCTCTGTAAAAAAATCAATAAATAAAAAAAAGAGTATGCACAATAATGCTGGTGGTTCATCCAGCACTGACTTACCTAGAGAAAAATTAATTTATGTGCAAAATAGCACTTTGTACAAAAAATTATGGGAAATCCCTAAAATAGTTTCCTTTTGAAAAAATTTGGTGGCAGAAAAATATTCTTGCCAGGTACAAATATTAAATTGAAAGCTGTTTATAATATCTAGTTATTTTTAAAACCCAGTTTTCAAAATATATTCTTTCAAAAATTGAATCACATTCTATATACTATATAGGTTCGCCTAGAGGGAAAAATAGGTTGTAATCAATGGGTTAATAGACAATCATGGGCGATGGGATTAAGTAATCCCTCCACCAAGCCAACCATCTCTCTCTCTCTCTCTTTTTAAAAAATATATTTTATTGATTTTTTACAGAGAGGAAAGGAGAAGGATAGACAGCTAGAAACATCGATGAGAGAGAAACATCGACCAGCTGCCTCCTGCACACCCCCTATTGGGGATGTGCCTGCAACCAATGTAAATGCCCTTGACCAAAATTGAACCTGGGACCTTTCAGTCCGCAGACCGACGCTCTATCCACTGAGCCAAACCGGTTTCGGCACATCTCTCTCTCTTAATCTCTCTCTCTCTCTCTCTCTCTCTCTCTCTCTCTCTCTCTCTCTATCTATCTATCTATCTATCTCTATCTCTCTATCTCTCTCTCCTTTATAATTTTATATTGTTTTACAATGAATATGAATTTAATTCAAAATAGTAAAATTTTATATGTAAACTCAGATTGCATGCAGCATTTTAAGAAGCTCTACCATGCAATTATTCCAGGCTAAATCTTTCATAAAAAGATAAAGCCGGGGGACTTTTTCCCTGGTCTTATATAGCTGTCTTAAAACATGAATGCCAAGTCATGCACTGATCCCTACAGAATGTCATCATTCTGGCTTTGACCCTGACTTCCAGCTCGCTTTTGATGCCTGTTTCTGTGAAGGACACCTTAGCTTCCTGGATCTGTACCTCCAGGGAATGTAATAAGCACATTTTCCCTCCCTGGGGGTACAGAATTGAGGCAGGGCGCTGTGGGGTCATTTCCCCTGTCTAGTCCTGCGTGGGTGGTGGACCTGGAGGGGTGAGAGGTAGAGCAGTTACCCTTCCGCCCTCAGGACCCACGGAGAGAGGAAATGGTATCAACCCAGAGAGACTGACTACAAGGAGCAGCCGCAGCAAAGCATTCTGCCTCCAATCTGATTACGGAGCCAAAGAAATAAAACCTCTGGGGCCAGCTCTCCTGGCCGCCTGCCTCGCCTGCAGACCCGGCTCTGCCTGTGGCCGGCCCACTCTGCATCACTCACTTAAGTGGCAACGACATCTGACAGACAGAGCACCGGCCATGGCCCCGTGTGTCCCTAATGCGATTAGAGTTGGAGAAATTATTCATCAGGGGATATTCTAAAGCGCTTAGCGTCCCCTGGATGGATGCATTAGGGGCAGGTTCTGGTGGCCTCCGTGATGCACCTCCGCGTGTTTGCCCTGGAAACCCCTGCGCTGGCTCCGCACTGATGCCCTCATTACTCATCCCCAGAACCACAGTCGGTCTCCATGACTCACCATCATGTGGCCTCATCGCAGCCCCTGTCAATCTTCCTTCCCTTCTCTCCCAGGACTCTTCTGGGCCACCTGCCTCTCTCATCCCCGGGGGGCCACAACCCCTGGCATGATGCAGAGGGCTCCCACCTGCTGGCTCTGCCCTCATCCTCCAATGCCTCGTGCTTACCTCCCCTCCAACCAAAATGTTCCCTGCTCCCCAGCCTACCTACCTGTCCTTCCTGTCCATGAGGGTCTGAGGCCACCTTCTCCTGAAGTCTTCTCGGCTGTCATTAGCCAGAATTAGGACCATGCCCAGATGCTCACAGAGCAGTGTCTTATCTTTCTTCCTGGCACTTTCCCTGCAAGGGTCAGGGTGGTAGAGAGATGGGGGTTGTCAGGGAGATGTTGGTTCCCACAGAGAGGAAGGCCACCACCTCCTGCTCCTTTAGGCTTTGCACACAGCGTAGAACCATGTGCAGGGGCTTGGTATTCATGGGCTGAAGTTCTTTCTGCTTTGATTTTCTGAGGGGGAACAAAAAGGATTTATCATTCCCAACAACCATTCTTACAGAAATACTTACTGAACATTCTGAAGTCTGAGGTTAGGAAAAGCTCTCTATTTTACAAAAGAAACTCATCCAACTCACTGTAATTACAACTGTAATGATTATTAATTAATCTCTTTCATGTACTTTGCAGCTGCTATGAACCAGGTTCTGTTCCATGCTCTGGGTATTCTGTTGCTAATGACCACAACGATGTCACATGTAGGTCCCAAGCCCCGTTAGAAATGGGAAAATTAAGCCACTGCAAGGTACAGTGACTTGCCAAAAAGATGTAATTACTCAAAATTTGTAAAGTCGGTCCAGATTGATAGCCAAGATCTAACCCCATATTCCCGTTCTCCCCACTAATCAGTGTTTGCTGGTAAACTTTTAAGACTCTTTCCTGCAGACTGTGAATTACTGAGATGTACTTGTGGCCGGGAGAACGGTGTCGTGATTAAGAATAGGATTCTGCAGCCAGGCACGCCGGGTTCAAGCCCTGGCTCCACTGCCTACCAGCTGAGACCTTGTTCAAGGCACTCGTCTTCCTCACGGCTAAGGCTCCTCATCCGTGAAATGGCAGGCTGGCTGGCTCGATGGAAGCCCAGCGATCCCAGTTTCATGTGCCAAGCTCATCAGGGCCATGAGCTCATTAATCCCTCAGAACAGCCTGATGAGAAAGGCATAATCAACTTGGCAGGGAAGCTTATGAGGTGAAGGGCTGGAAAGAGTTTTGCAACATCACAACTTAGAAGATCCCTCAGAAATCAATCAATCAATCAATCAATCAATCCAAAAGTATCTCATAGGTAATTTGGAAGTCATTTTATGGTTTACAAAATGCGTATGATGAGCACATTTTCAGAGGCATGGCATTTACCAATTCTCCTGGCAACCTGGGAAACGTTTATTAGGGCATGGGGATCAGAAGCATGCCCTGTCCTTTTGATAGCTCATTTGAAATCCTTCCTTCAACAGATCCTAATGTAAAAGTTCAAATGCCTGAGCCTGCCCTACATGAAACTTACCAAGCTAGTCCCAGGTCAAGTTGCCAGTCTTTTCACCCCACCAACTAATATTTGATTTCTGCTCATTGCAAGCTTCTACTCATATTTCAATACCCAACTCTAAGGTCCCATGCTCAGTAGATCCTTCATTGATTTCTACAGGGAGAGGTCAGTGTTACCTCACCCCGTTGCCACATCCTTTTGCCACATCCTGTTGCCATTCTCTCTACTGCAGCACTTCTTACATTGTGTTCTAGTTAAAGGTTTATGTGTCTGCCTCCACTGTTAGTCACGAATAGTGAGCTGGTCAAAGGTTGGGTCACATGTCCTGGTCGTTTTTCATCTTTGTACCTGGCACATATCAAGTACCAAGTAAATGTTTTTGAGTGCATGCATAAATTAATAAATAACTTTCAATGTTAGTGAAAAACAATCACTCCAGCTAAATGAGAACTGTGTTTAAGCTTAATAAATAGCAGCTCCTTCATCATTGTCATTATCAAGATCCTTATGATTCCAGCACTACAGCCTGTGAAACTGGTGAAGGATTTTCTTGCATTATTCTCCTAAGTCATCAATGTTAGTCAAAAGGCTTTCTTAAGGTCTCAGATATAACTACCTTCCTCATAGAGTCAATCTGCTATCTATGAAATGGCAAAAGCATAGGACGATTCAAAGGTTGATTTACTGCTCTTGCAGGAATATGGAAGCCTATGTTCATGGAGAAGGCACACTGTAGGCATCCTGGTAAATATTTGCAGATTAATGAGTGTGCATGGTGTGAGGCAGTTCTCCCATGGGGACAGTGTGGAAGTTACCTGTCCACACACATCTGATTCAACTATCTCAGTTATGAAGGGACAGGTGGTGATGCAAGGAAGACAAGCTTTCAGTGTGAAGACCCAGGCTTAAGTAGATCCTTCATTGATTTCTGCAGGGAGAGGTCAGTGTTACCTCTGTTACTTAGCAGCTGGGTGACTTTGGGAAAATCCCTTGCCTCTCTGGGGAGCAATTTCCTCATCTGTAAAATAGGGATAATTTTTCTTGCCTTGTCATTGGGAATCCACAAAATCAATACATGAGAAAGTATCTAATATCACAGGCTTGAAGTGTTAGTCAGTAACAAAAGATGCCTTATCCAATTGGACCGAAGATGAGGCTTAGAGACAGTACTGGGGAAAAACCCTCTCTCTTCTCTCTCTCTCTCTCTCTCTCTCTCTCTCTCTCTCTCTATATATATATATATATATATATATATATATATATATATATATATATATGGCATGATACTAGATACAAATTAAGAGAAAACTCAGTTTACTTTGGTCATACAAAATTTAACAAAGTTCTCTCGTTCATGGGAACATTTGTACCC